AAAAGTCAAAATTACCCCTTGCTCCATGGGCTGCAGAATGGATGTTGTGTTAGCAGGCATGAAAAGCAACATTTATCTCCCTGTACATGTCCATCAGAGCTCTTGGGTGACCAGGTGCATTCCATGAGCAGTAATATTTTGAAGGGAATCTTTTTTCTGAGCAGTAGGTCTCAACAGTGGGCTTAAGATATTCAGTAAACCATACTGGAAACAGATGTATTGTCAGCCAGGCTGTGTGGTTCCACTGATAGAGCACAGGCAGAGTAGATTTAGCATCATTCTTAGGGGCCCTAGGATGTTTGGAATGGTAAATGAGTGCCAATTTCAACTTAAACTCACCAGCTGCATTAGCCCCTAGTAAGAGAATCAGCTTGTCCTTTGAAGTTTTGAAATCAGGCATTGACATTTCCTCTCTAGCTGTGAAAGTCCTATATGGCATCTTCTTCTAGTATAAGGCTGTTTCATCTATATTGAAAATCTGTTGTTTAGTGTGGCCATTTTTATCAATGATCTTAGCTAGATCTGCTGGATAACTTGCGGCAGCTTCTACATGAGCACTTGCCGCTTCACCTTTCATGTTTATGTTATGGAGATGGTCTTTTCCCTTAAACCTCATGAATCAACCGCTATTAGCTTCCAGCTTTTCTTCTGCAGCTTCCTGAACTCTCTCAGCCTTCATAGAACTGAAGAGAGCTAAGGCCTTTATCCATATTCGGCTTTGACTTAAGGGAATCTTGTAGCTGGTTTGATCTTCTCTCCAGACCACTCAAACTTTCTCTGTATCAGCAATAAGCCTGCTTTGCTTTCTTATTATTAGTGTGTTCACTGTAGTAGCACTTTTAATTTTCTTAAAGGACTTTTCCTTTGCATTCACAACTTGGCTAACTGGCATAAGAATTCTTGTTTTTGGCTTTTCAATTTGCCTTCCTCATTAAGCTTAATCATTTCTAGTTTTGAATTAAAGTGAGAGATGTGCAGCTCTTCCTTTCACTTAAACAGTTAGAGGCCACTGTAGGGTTATTAATTGGCCTAACTTCACATTTTGGTATCTCAGAGAACAGAGAAGCTGGAGGAGAGGGAGGGAAGTGGGAGAATGGCTGGTCAAGTGAGGACACACACAACATTGATCGAGTTCACATGCGCCATATATGGGTGCGATTTGTGGTGTTCCAACATAATTACAATAGTAACATTAAAGATCACCGATCACAAATCATCGTAACAGATATCATAATAATTTAAAAGTTTGAAATATTGGGAGAATCACCAAAATGTGACACAGAGACACCAAGTGAGCCTAAGCCTATGTTGCTGGAAAAATGGCGCCCATAGACTTGTTCAATGCAAGATTGCCACAAACCTTCAATTTGTAAAAAAAAAAAAAAAAAAGCACCGTATCTGTGAAGTGCAATGAAGTGAAGCACAATAAAATGAGGTATGCCTGTACAATCCCTTGACCATTTCTCATTAATAATTCACTCCCCTCCATAACCTTAGGGATTATCTGCAACTCCAAGGGGAAAGACCACATCTTTGCAGGGTTGTATTTTCACCAACTCCTTATCTCCCTTCTTCCTCTTTCATCTCCCAGAACATCCAATACTTTCCCCATTACTCCGGTAGACTATTTCTACCATCTTTAACTTCCCTTGGAGTTTTACCACTTACACTAAGCAGGTTGGTTAAAGAATTTTTTTCCAGACAAATACAGAGCTCTTCCTAAGGAATTATAGTAAATCACTTTTTTTTTTTTTACAAAAAAAAAAAAAATACTACATGTGAAAGAGTTTATCTCTCCCCATTCTCAATCTCTATGTCCCTTCCTCCAAGTTTGACTCAAACATTTTCTATTTTTGGAGACTAGCTGAGTTAGAGATGACCAAAAGGCAATGGAAGTAGAAACTTTTTACCTGTTCACCTTTATGGATAAGGTGTTAGAAAATGAGCATAGTCAATTCATACAACAAAGTATTGAGAAAAACACTTTATCAAGTCTATTCGTTGAATTAATATCACCTGGTGCTGTGTGTTCCCTCCCAAAATTCATAGGTTGAAATCTAATCACCAATGCGATGGTCTTAGGAGGTGGGACCTTTGGAAGGTGATTAGGTCATGAGGGCAGAGTCCTTATGAGTTGAATATTTTGAGTATTCAAGATCATAATATGCTAGAGTTAAAAATCATGGCTGTTCAATAGGATGGATCCTAAAATCACCTGGCCAAACACTCTCATTTTACAGATGAGGAACTAGGAGATGTTGACTTTTCTCGCACCATCTAGCCAGTCTCTGACAGTGTCAGGGTCTAGCACCTGGGTATCCTAACTCTCGGGCCAGTTCTTCTATTCTATGCTGTTGTTCCTTGACTAGAGATAGCGATCCCAGGTAGCAATTACTCTATCTATTTCTCCAAATGGATATGGATATCTCTGCAGATGGAATAGAGTACAATTCATACATATTTTAATTTAGCCAGAATTAGAGTAATACAGAGTTGTATTAATATGTGGAACATAATTAATATGTTGTATGTAATTAATGCAGTATATATAACACGTGGAGTATCTTCTTGATACTGAAGATTCAACTTCTGCCAACCTAATAGCTAAATAGTTTGGAGAAGGATGAGGTGGAAAATCTATCTCTGGAAAACCTGATGAAATGGACACCACCTCAGTCTTCATTTTGAGTTCAGAATTACACAAATTGGTATATCATTCTTGACATTCAGCCACTTACTTATGTCACCTTGGACAACATTACTGCTAAACTCAATCTGACTGTCCTCACCTGCTAAATATTGAATAGGAATAATAGTGCCTATCTTGTAGGGTTTGGTTCTGCTTAAAAAAAAAATAGTATATATGAAAGACCCATTTCTTGAGCACTGTATATGCTCAAAGGATACTAGTTTTCCTTCTTCTCTCTCATCATTGCAATTTTACTTGCATTATTAAAATTAAATACCTAAAATTGGTTCATCTAATTCTTAGATCCCATTTCAAAATAAAACTGATTTTACTTTTACTCCTCGTGGGGCAGTAGTAAGACTTACATACTGTCTTAGGCACATAGTAATTCTTTTTTCTCTTTTTTTTTTTTTTTTTAGAAAATACTCATTTGTGACAGAACTGCCACATAGTCTTGAAGAATAAGGAAAGTCGGGCGATGAATGACTATTTTCCAGAAGACAGGTGAAGCATATTTGGTAGATTAATTCTCAATTCACCTTCTCAGAGGAAAAGGACAAAACCCTCATTTACCAAGATTCTAAAGAGATTTCCGGGCAAGTCCCTAGCCAGCCCCGCATCAGTCTTTGCTTTGAAGCATTCGTTCCCCAGAGCTTGGCTTCCTCCACTAGGTCCCAAACCTTTTATTGAGCTGCACGAGGGCTGGAGGAAACAGTCCGCTCCTTGCGCTGACATTCACCTGTCTGGTGGCACTCAGGAGAGGGATGGTGCCTGTGCTTATCAAGGAATCAATCTTTCTGCCTATCATCCTCTTTTTCTTCAGAAGAAAGCGAGTCAGTGCAATTACCTCATCCAGAACAATTACCTCACCTTAAACTGTCTATTCTCCAGAGAAAGGTGTTTGGGAGCAGGTAGCACTTTGCAAGAGAGATGGATTTTTAAAAAGTGCGGGCATCCATATCGAGCGTGAGCCTTTGGGAACTGTTGGGAAGGTTGTCTTTCAAACCGGGGCTTTCTTTTCTAATGGGGTTAACGAGGCAAAAGGGGACAGGTATTCTGACCAGCTGAGTTCTGTTGCCACTTTGAGGGCCCCACCCTTCCAGAGATATTGGGGTGGCTGCCGCAGGGGCCTTGGACTCAGAGCAGCTCCCTGGGCGTTGTCTTTGCTCTGAAACTCAGTGCCCTAGGAAAATCTCTCTACAGCTACTCCTTTAGCAGAGGGAAGTATAAGAGGCAACTGTGAGGCACTTTCAAAAGCCCCTTAAGTAAAGATTTGACAATCTATTAAAAAACAAACCACAGAAAGACCCTGTCTCAAAACAAAAACAAAAATAAACAAAAAAGAAATAAACCACAGTATTTAAAAAAAGTATTATTTCCTTCTTGTTATAAAGACCCAGCACGTCTCTCCTTTCCCTAATATTTAGCAGAAAGACAATTCCCAGGGTGCAGATTAAAACTAACAAAAATAGGAGCTATCATAAATGAGGGAGCTTCTGAAAAGTTTGAGGGCCAGGTGCGGTGGCTCACACCTGTGATCCCAGCACTTTGGGAAGCTGTGGCAGGAGGATTGCCTGTGGCCAGGTGCTCAAGGTTGCAGGGAGCCACGATGTGCTACTGCAACCCAGCCTGGGCGACAGAGTGAGACCCCGTCTCAAAACATACAAAACAAAAAACCACAAGCAACAAGATGAAAAGTTGAAAAGTTTTGAGATTCTGGAGTCATGAGGACAAGAGAAAAGGGAATCAGAGGAAAAAAAAAAAAGTAAAATAAAAATTGATCACATATTGCTTAATGAATCTACAATTGTAATTCCCCACCTCTTTATTTACATGAGTGCAGTTAGCATGGCTGCAATCATGGATTGATTTCATTATTTTTTCCCCCATTCTGCATTGATTTTTAGTCTTTCCTTTTCTTAGGAGTGATGTCTGATCTGATGTTAAAAGTGGAAGCAGGAGAGGCAGGACTCTGAAAGTTGATGAACAAAACAGAGGTCTCCTGGAAGCAGCTGACAGTGAGTTAAAGCAACCTAGATGCCCACGGATCCTTCTGCGCTGCGTTCGCCTCCGAGAGGCCCGCCGGCTGCGCCCGCCATCCCGAGGCGTGGACTTGTCCCCCGCCGCCGCGTCTCTGTTCCCGCGAGCGGGGGCTGCTGGGGGGGCCCGGAGCACCCGGGGGCACGTGGAGCCGCCGCGCTCACCTGCGCCCCCCGCCCGCCGGCGCCGCCCCGCCCCGGCGCTGCTCATTGGCTGTCGCTCCGAGGGGCGGGGCGGGGGCGGCCGCGGGGTCTCATTAGCGATGCGGACTCGCTCCTCCGCTCCGTAGTCCGCGGCCCGGCGGCGGCGCGGCGGGGACGGCGGGCGACTCCGGTGGCAGCGGTCGCCGCGCTAAGGGAGGCTATGGGGACGCGCGCTTTCTCGGGGTGCCCCTCCAGTGGCGGCTCGGAGCGCCCTGCCCCGCTGCTGTAGGCAGCGGCCGTGGAGCAGAGTCACTCGCTGAAGACCCCCGGGACCCACTTGCCGCGGGCCCTGCGTCGCCGTGCCTCTCCCGGATCCGGCAGCGTGGACGAGGAGCCGTGCCCCAGCGCGGGGCGAGGAGCATGGGGACGGCGGCGGCCGCAGGAGGCGGCGGCGGAGGGACGCGCCGGTGGCTGCGGTGGCTGGGGCTGTGCCTCTGGGCGGCGGGGGCTGCGGCTGCCCGAGGTAAGTGCTGAGCAGCGGGGGGCGTGGGCGAGGGCGCGCCAGCCACGCCGAGCGGGACCCGCATCTTTGGCGTTGGCTCCCAAGTTGCGCCCCGCACCTCTCCGCGCGCCGAGCCCGACAGGGTGGGAGTGGGATGGAGGACTCCGCGGGGACCACCGCTTTCCAAGCCAAGTTTGCCATCTGCAGCAATCCTACAGGTTGCTGTGACCCGGGCCCCTACCCTTTAGTCGCATCACCTGCTCCGTTTTCCAAGCCCTCCCCAATTGCTGCAGATTGGAGTAGCCCGGTCTTCGCCCCAGTCTCGCTCTCCTCTGTCCTCTCCACTTCCTCGTAAGGCGTGATCAGTCGTGGGTGGGCGCCGTTGGCGGTGTCCGAGAGTTTCTGGGGAGAGGGGCCGGGGGATGGGAGTGTCTGTAGGGTGGGCTTGAACCCAGAGGGCGCCTTTTCCCTTTGGGGAGCACTAACACCCAAGCTGGAGCCCCCTCGTTCTGCGCTGAGCTTGGCACCCCTCGGGCGACCCCGGCCGGGGGTCCTGGCCGGCCCCGGGCTTGCCCTGGCGGAGGCCCGTGTGCACCGGGCCGGGAGAGCCGCGTGCGCCGCGCGGGGGTGACCGCGCCTGCAGCGCCGAGCCCGGCGAGCGCTTGGCCGGAGGCTGCTCGCCAGGCGCCTCCTCTCCCCGCCTCTGCTACCCCGGCCCCGCGCGCGGCGGGGAAACCTCTGCCGCTTCCCTCCTTACAAGCTTAGACCTCATTTTCTTGCTGCCTCTGGACTCCAGCAGAGTGAAATTTTGCAACTGGTTTCAGCTCCACCTTGAGCGAGGACAGGAAGCATCAACTTACAGATAAATCCCAAGGACTTGTTTTGAAGATGATCAGAGGCCAATTCAGACATAGCTCGAGTACAGTGGCTTTACCTTTGGAAAAAAAAAAATCCGGAAGCTTCTCCTTCCTGCGCGTCTTTACCTTTCTCCTTCCCTGCGTGCCGTCCATTAGGCTTAGAATATGTGATTGCATTAAATGCTCTGCCTAACGCTCGTCTGGCGAGAGGTGTAACTGAGCTGCCCACCTCGTCACCTTCTGCCCTGGCGCTCTCCTGTCGCATTCTGGGCAGCCAGGAGACGGAAAGGGTGGAAAGGGCTGAGGATGATCACAAAAGAACTAATCTCATTTTTAGGAAAGCTTACGGTGTATTAAAAGCAGTCGTGCTGCCTGGAAAGAAAAGAAAAAAAAAAAGATGCCTAGAGGCTTTCTGTTTTATGATCCTGTTCTGTGACTATTTGCATTTCATTTCCTGAAAAGTTTTTTTTTTTCTTTTTTTCTTTTTTTTTTATGGGGCAGGCTTTTTCAGAAAGGAAAGGTTTAAACATGAGCCTCAGTGATTGCATACTGGTGATGGTGAAGCACAGTTCCTTTCTCGTGCTGGAAAAAGCACAAGCTTCAGCCATTTAATTTACTACCGCGAATGCCTCATTGCAAAGTCAGCCGAGTTGTTTTTAATACACTGTTATGGGGGGAAAGTGAGCCTTTTGTTTTCTAAACGTTGATCGGAACGTCTGAGTTTCCAGTCGCTCTTTGGTGTGCAATACCTAACTGGCTGACTCCAGGTGCTGACCCTTGGAATTTGGTCTGCGAGGTTGCCTTGGAAGCCAGCTCCACACAAGAGGTAGGGACATGCCAAAGCCTCTTGGATGGAGTTTTGCTGGCTGTGAAACGAAGGCTAGCACCTCTTGTCTGCAAGCTGTTCTTTAAAGGTCTACTGGAAAACATACTGTACATTGCACAGGCTTATTTACAGCAAACGTCTTGCACAGATCATAGTAATATGCAAGACACATGGAGTGGAGCGGTAAATCTGACTGCTATTTCCCATGTCATATTTCACTTTCGCTTTCTGGGGCACGAAGCCCATTCTTCTTAGCGTCTGTCAGAGATTCCTCAAGAAATGAGCACTAATCAGGCGATGAAGCCTGTGAAACCACGTGCACCTGGCTCTGGACAGGTGGCCACAATTAGGGTTTTCAGAACAAAGGGTGTGTTTTCAATGTTAAGTTCGCCCATCCCAGACAGGTGCACCCAATTCATTAACATCAAGATAAGGCACTCCTGGCCGGGCGCCGTGGCTCACGCCTGTAATCCTAGCTCTCTGGGAGGCCGAGGCGGGCGGATTGTTTGAGCTCAGGAGTTCGAAACCAGCCTGAG